TTCTCCATAGTACGGAAGCGTAAAGAAACTATTTTAATTCATAAAGAAAGAAAGATGTCTGTCTGTCGGTCTATATGTGCATGCGGGTATCTCAAGTCCGATTTGAATGAAATTTTATAATATCTATGTGAATTTATTATGCCACGAATTGATCAATCAGTGAATTATGTCAGACTCTTAGAATATAACAGACCTCGGGAACTGGACGTTTTTGCGTGCCGATTTTACACTTTATGCCTATCTAAAGTGAAATAATCAACGAATTTCTTTGAAATCAAATATTCAAATTCGGGATATTAAAACAGTGAATCTATAACTTTTTTGAAAAGATCAACAATGCTTGGAAACGAATTGCGGGCCTATTTCCAACTTTTTGCCATATTTACGGATGGGATTTCTTGAAATTTGAGTTTTGGTTGTTACTGAAATTTGGTACTTTTCAGGAACTTCGGGTGGCACAAAGCGAAACTCTATTAAGAGCCAGATTTAAACTTTTCTAGGTTTGTTATTTTAAAGCTTTTTATTTTCTTTAAAATTGAAAGGAAATGTTCAAAAGCATTTTCATAATCTTCGGCAACACTTTTACTAAACAAGGCAATGCACATATTGCGCTTGATTATACGCTGATCACATCAGATTTTTTGTTGAGTTTATTGTTGTTACATGTTGTTCCGAGCTCTATATTATTATGTTTAACCTTTTTATACAAAAATGTAGCAACGCCAATATTAAAATTTATTAAAAAGTGAAAAAGAAAAATCAAAAATTTTTCTTTTTCACATTTTCAATCGAAAAATATTTAAAATTACTTTAATTTTCCATTTTTTATTTTTTTTTAAACTTTGTTTTTATCCTACCATCGCTTCACCTCATCGTTGTTGTGCTTGTATAAAATTATGTAAAATATAAAATGCAGTTAAAGAGATTTATTGTTATAGTTTTAACATTATCAACATTAACCGCCACTAAAATTTATTTAAGCTCATCCGAATCCGATCAGATTTCATATTCAATATTCTTTACCTATATACAACCATTATACATTTTATATGTTTATAAAATTACAAAATTATGGTGTGGTAACATAATGGTTACTAAGAAGGTACAATTTATTATTATATTAAGGATTAAATTTTTCTAAAGGACTAAAATTATCACTTCATTGTGAAAGAATTGTAGGAAAAGTTTTTCTTTATATTTAGTGATTAACTGAAAGTTTCTATGAACACAATAGTGTACATGTAGTGAAAATTTCTTTTAAAATTTAATTTTTTTTTGGAAAACGAAAAATAGCAATAATAAAATCTCAATAAAAATCCTTGTGTTTACTTAAAATTATTCCTTATACGCAATGGGTGTATCATCTTAATAAAAAGAAAAGCAATTTACGTACAATTTAAAGTCAAATCAGACGCCATTAAAATTATTTATTGATGGTACACGAAATCACCGACAAAACCAATATTAATATAGCAACAATGTAAACATAAATTTAATATAAAATATATACACAAAAAATTTTATTTTATTCTTTTCATATAGTTGCTATTTTTCGCATATTTTCACTTAAAATTATTTTATATTTTTTATATAGTGAAAAAAAGAAATCATAATAATTTTAGTTATTATAATTTTCGTCGCCATTCTCAAATAGGGTATAAGTACACCGGGATATGTAAGTGTTCAGCTCATAATAAATTCTATGAGAGCATTGAAATTTAATTTCTTTATTTATTTAAATTTTATTATTTCAATATTTATTTATTCACTCATCCTTACTTTTTATAAAAAAAAACAACTTTTAAGTTGGTCTGTATCAATTCGGTTGGTGTTATTTTTAACACAAAATGTGTTAGCATTACTATAAATTATATTATTTTCCCCAAATTTTAAAATACATATTATTATATTATAATCTCATATTCATCAACTCATACCCCATATATATGTACATTGTAAAATATTTTGTATTGGAAAAAAATTTGTGTAAATATGACGCGATTTACAATAAATCTGTGTTTAAAGGCGCGAAAATCGTTAATATAGCAATAAATATGTAAATTAGATATACTATATAATATGTATATGTATAATAAATATAATATAACAGATATTTATATTAATTTTAATGCAAAATAAAACCATTAAAAGTGTGCCAGAAAGAAAACTTTTAAATATATGAGTGTGAATATGTAATATTTAAAATTTACGAGATGTTCTCCTGAATTAGAATTAAAATAATGTTGCAAGATTTTGTAGTGAACAAAAATATCGTATAAATTTTTTCCACAATTAATAAATTAGAAAATTTTAAAAAAAGTAAATTTTAATGGAGAATAAAAATAATATTTGGTACATTATCTACGCGTATTTGAATGTTATGTATGTATCTATCTGCGCGTATGCGAATATGTGTGTCAGTATAAAAATTTAAAATCTATTAAAACTAAATAAAGTAGCACAACTTGCCCGATGTAATTGTATTAATACGTACACCAAGCATGTCAAACTCGCGGCCCGCGGGCCTCATGCGGCCCACAACGAAAAAATTTGCGTCCCACCAGACAATATATTTTAAGCCAGATTTGAAAACACTCGAAAATTAGCATATGAAATTATGTCCATGTTTGGAAGTACTTATCGGTGCGAGCAGTTATTTTCACTTATGAAAGGAAATAAGTCTCCAATCAGATCGAGAATTACTGACGTTCACCTTGGGTCAGTTTTAAAATTAATCACTGCGAACAAGATTTCCCCCGAAGTAGGAAAGATGGTAGCAGAAAAGAGATGCCAAATATCAGGGAGAAAATATTAACTTTACTTTCTTTTTTCTTATTAGTATTTTTTAAAATAAACCTACATAAATGTTACTATAAAAATTTAATTACTTGTTTTCTTTTTTTGCGGCCCACATAATCTTATTACTTTTTTATTTGGCCCGTGTTAGGATTTGAGTTTGACATGCTTGACGTACACGTTCAGAAACAATGTAGTATAACAATTCAAACGGTTTCAGTATGCCAATATATTATACAATATATTACTAATGTAACAAATTTACGATAAAAAATTGTGGTGATCGCAAAATGATCATATTCTTAAAATACTTAAAAAAAAATTGCATAAATTTAGGAGGCCACTTTTTTTTATTGTTAAATTTTATATTAAAGTTAATGATTTTCAATTTTTTTTTAACATCTCTTTTGCATTGTTCATTTTAGTTGAAATGGAGTGAATGATGGAAAAATTGTTTTTACTTTGCGAGCCGGTATAGTTCAATCCCAATTATAATTCATGCAGGGCCACATTCAAATTTTCAAAAATTCTGTTTTACATCTCATCAGTAATTATTATAGATATACAAATTCTATATAAATAGATAATTCCTTCTTATGAACAAAATTGTAGATATTTTAAAACATAATTTGCATTTGCTCAACCAACTTGAATATTATTTGGGATTGTTAAAGAAAATTATAAAACTGACTTCAAATATTAAATAATGATCAAATAATCTTAAATTCTCAAAATGCGAAGAAGTTTATTAAATTTGGGCAAGAGTTTTTTTTTTAAATTTTAAATATTTGTTTACACTAATATTTGTGCTACGCTATAATGATCTTTGGAAAAAATTGGTGCAATTTTCTATAGTGTAATGCTAAAAGCATAAAATCTTACTTCTTTTATTTACAAAATTTTATAATTTATAAATAATTTAAACTTCCAACTTTCAAATAAATTTAATTGAACTTTTAATTGGGGTACTCACACTTGGGTCTGGTAGAGCCCAACAGAATTTAATTTACAATTCATCAAATGTAGCGTAAACAATTTGAGAAGTTTATGTAAATTTTTAGTAAGAAGTTTTACTGTAGGTATATTTTCACGAAACAATGCCTTAAAGTTGTTTAAGTTTGAGAGACCCCAGTGTGAGTAATATGCAAATACTTGGATTTTAGTTTTTTTTATTGGAAACTTATAAAGAAATTAAATTTTTTACTCCAATTTTGGTTTTTGTCCCGATAAGAAAAGAAGATAAGAAAATTACCTTCTCTTGTAAATTCTGCTTTTGGATCATTTGAAATTTACATAGAGCATCTATTTCTCTGATAAATTATAAATTAAATAACTGGCTTTGAATAAGAAATAGAATTGATATTGCAGGCTGGAGTTAATTTTTTAAGAAACCTAGGCTTAAGCAAGAAAATAAATGATTTGAATAGTTCTGGTAGTCTGGTAGACCCCAGTGTTAGTAAATTGTTTTACGAAAATTAGTGTGACTGCGTAAACGGTTAAAATAAAATTCTACACATTTTGAAATCAAGTTTTTTGGTAATTATATTTAATTAAAATTATATTATGATTTTAGTGTAACAAATCTTGGTAATTAATTATACATTAACTAAACTGGAATATTATTTATTTAACAGTATAAAATATTTAACTAGATATTGAATGCGGTTTATTTTGAAAAAGTCTTTAAAAATTTTATTAATACTATAAAGTATAAGTTATTATAATAACATTGTTTTTTAATTTTATATGTACTATAAGATTATGATCTCAATTATATAAAAGATTTATTCTCATAAAAAAATCATATTTAATTTCTTATTTTAAGAGTAATCTGAAGCTTTTTTAATAAATAAGAACATAAGCAAATCTATAATTGTACCAGTTTTTCTGTATAACAAAAAACTTGGAGCACAAAATAGAACGATTTCAGCTGACTTCTCATTTTTCGAAAGTCGAGTATCGTTCGATATTAATTTTCCAATGCAAACTATATAATCATTTTAAAGAGATGAGTTTAATTAATAATACTGGAACCGCAATATGGTCTATTTATTTGGGCAACCTTTTTAAAATTCCTGAAAATCTGCGAATATTCAATTTTGAAGCAGTTTTTTCTCCAAAGCTCATAAAATATTTTCATTTACTTTTAAATAAAACGACACAATAATTAGGTAGAAAATGTACTAATTCTATAATATGTTTCTTTTAATTTTAAAAATTAATTTATCAAAAATCTTATAATTTACTACTTGAACTAAATAATTACATTATTAAAAAAAAAAACATCACAATTCAAAAATTCAAATATCCTAATTAATTTTATTCTTTATCTAACATTATTTCTAATCCAATTTTCATAACTTGATACTCTAGTATGAACGGCTGGCCAATCTTTAAAACCACATCTTATACCAAATGAAACTATCCCTTCAATAACATATGAATTTTTATATACTCTCATCAATGGACCACCAGAGTCCCCATCACAACTATCTTCTCTAAGAACACCACCAGCACAAATTTGTGTATCAATAACATTTACCATTTTAGCACGAAATTTTTCTGCACATTCTTCTAAAGATGACGCTCGTACACTTAGTTTTTGTTTAATAGTTGCTCGACGTGCTAATAAGAAACAAAAATTTAAAAATAGAAAAAAATTTTACAAAAATAACGTCAAAGAGATAGATGTCAATACAAAATTAAAAATAGATAACGTAAATAAATAAATTATATGGCATAAAAACCACAAAATCAAATTAGAATAAACAGAACAATAAATTTATACACTTGTAGACAATATTTGCAAAATTATGTGTTTGAAAATAAAATTACCATTTAAAGTTCTTCCCCAACCAGCAACAATAAGTTCAGAACCTGGACTAGGTGGAGTTGATTTAGCCATAAATGGTAAACAAATTGGTCGAATAAAATCCGTGAATAAAATTGAACGATCCATTTTAACTAAACCGATGTCATTGTGACGATGAACATCATTATCTTTAAAATTTTCATGTGGTATTAAACGTTCTATTCCGACTTGCATTGCTGAATCAGCACATAGTGAACCTGAACAATCAATTTGTTTTGTAATATCGTATTCTCCAAGTCTCACATATTTTCTACAAGATGGTAAATGGTTTTACAAACGTTATAAAATTAATTATATTCTGTTTACAAGTTTACTTACAGTTGTCCAACTTTCTGAAATATTGACTCTTTAAGGCAGTGTGCAGCTGTTAAAACATAACCTTAAAAAAAATTAATTAATTTTATTACAAAACCTACGTATTACTCACAAGGAGTGTTTAAAAACTGTTAATACTTACGATCATTAATCAAAGATCCTCCGCAATTCATAGACATTTGACCAGTGCTGGCTGTATAAATAAAAAAAATTAATGTTAGAATACACAAAAACAAAAATCTAAATTAATTCTTTTCAGAAAAGGGTTAAAAAAAATTACGTTTTGTATAAATAAGTAACGCCATCCATGGAAATTCTTCTAATGAAGCATCAGATCCACCATAAATTTTCGGTGAAATACCTTCATTTCCACATAATGGTGGTTTTGGAAGTGTAGCCGAATTTCCATTTGATCTTAAACGTGGTTGATTTTGTGAAACAGGAGAACTTACACTTGGAAAAGCTTCATCATTGTTAGGATTTACACCATTAAGACCATTAAAATTATAAAAGCCGACATCATTATTACAACAAACTAATGGAGGTCGTCCAAATCCTTCATAACATTCAGCTTGACGTAAAAATGCTATATCAGATTTTGATAATGGTTTTTTCATCGCAACTGATATTAATGGTGGACATTCATATAGAGACATACAGTATCCGTATTGACCATTTGGATTTAAACATTGTGCTAAAATAAAAAATAAAAATAAGAAAAAACTTGTTGAATTTATTTAATTTTGTAACATTAATTTTATAATTTTAATATTAAAAAATTTGTAAGTTTATAACAGAATTGTCACTATGTTCATAATGTTTTCAAGTACAAAGGCAACATAACCATTGATTTTCGCATAATATTGTGATAAACTCAAAATATTTTTATTTATTTTCAATTAGGGTATATTTTGGGCACATTTAAAGTTCATGACATTCGAAGTATATGAGAGTGACATAAGCTAGAGTCATATAATTGAGGGAGATTTCAAAATCTTTTATTAAGTTAATGAACAAATTACTATTGTAAGGTAATTTAGAATTCAACACCCTTGTCTGTCATAAGTAAATTTTGCTTTACGTAACAAACTAAAATAAAAAATTCCCAAAAAAAATTAACAACACCATCTTCATTTAATTATTGTCATTAAACGGTTTTTCAAAAAAAAAAATTTTTTGAAACTGGTTTTTACGTTACAAAATTTTGATTAACCCAAACCTTATGTTAGGTTGGAAATCGTCTCAATACCACAACACGTTACTTTTAATTTGTTTTGACTGGCATTTTTAGAATATTAGTATGCAAATATTTGAACGAATTTGTAGCTAGAGATTTAAAGATTTTTTGCTAATAGGTTTTCAAGTTTTTTTTTGTGTTTTTAGTTTTAAAAATATATCTTAATTAATTGTGACTCACAATATGTAAAAAAAATGTTAATCTATAAAGTATACATATAGGATTTTTAATTATTATTAAAAAAATTCCTTTGATTTATATATGATTCACTTTTTTTAATTGAGAAGTTTTAGTGTTAAATTAATTTTTTTCTATTAATAATCGTAACATTACTTTACAATAAATATTAACAAAAATTTTAAATCTAAATTTTGCGGACTTGCAATAAATAACTATTTTGCAAATAATAATTAACACAAATCTGATGTGGTCAGTACATAATCGATCGCAAGATGTATTGCCTAGTTTAGCGAAAATGATTTATAAAATTATAAAAATGTCCTTTAAATACTTCTTTAGTAAAAGTAGCTGTTAGTTAACACACCTACAAAGATGTCAATTTGGTTCTTAGTAGAGTTTCACTTTATGTTATTCGAATTCCCTGAAAAATAATTCGTTAGTTATTTTCAGTAGCAAGCAGACTTCCAATACTAAATTTTAACAAATTCTGGCAACTAGTTCCGTAGATATGGTAAAATCGAACCTCACTTCGGTTTCCGAGACCTGACCTCTCCAAAAAAATTGTAGCTTTTTGGGATATGACAGATTAAAATTCAAAGAAATCAGTTGATTGTCCAATAAAAGCAAAATACGTTGATATTAAATATAGTCAAAAACATAAAATCGGGCCGTATAGTAAAGATCCAGTTCCTGAAATCTGTCATATCCCAAAATTTGATGAAACCCTCTTATTCTCGATAAAAATTCAGATATAAATTTTCATGAAAATGGATTCAGCCGAACTTGAGAGACTGATCTGCACAGACTAGACCAGACAAACATCTCTCTAAACATACTTGTTTACGTTTCCATAGCATGAAGAAACATGTGAGATTTGGTACCATCACATAGCCTTCCATATTGTATGCAACGCAATCGGTAACAATTGCAACACATATTTGGTACTTTAAATAATAGCGGTAAAAAATTAGAACTTTACAAATTTTAAGTGCTAGAAGATTTTGCATAGTATGTATTGTTAAAGTAAAAAACAATTTGAAACTTTTTCCATTGTATTTCAAAAATTTCGACATTTACGTATTTTTTTCGAATTTTAAGTACATATTTTAAATGATTTTATTTTTGATTAGAGAGTAAAGTTTTGTGGCCTAAAAAATATACATACATATATATTGATTAATATATGACTTTATTTAAAGTTATCAAATATGTATGTACTTATGTGTAAGTTATAAACTTGCATTGCTTAAATTCGCATTTACGGTTCTGACTGTGAAAGATCTTTCTAGTTTAAACTGCACTACTAAAGTAAACTCTACCAACAGAACTACTAGAGTAGCGCTGCCAATAAAAACTCTGGTGTCAAAATCTTTGTTGACAGAACATTTTTTGCAGTGTTACCAACAAAAATTGAATACTTTTTACAGAAAACTGCAAAACCGCTCTGCCATTGTAGATCTTTGTTAGAAGTGCAAACGCAAATTTAACCGGCAAGATCAATTATTCATGTTCATTGCTCCTACGTGCAATTTATGACAGATTAGGTATGTACATAATATATTAACATCATTTAAAAAAGAACAAAATATAATACGAAAAATATCATTCTCAAACTTAAACGGCTCAATAAACTTGTTTCCTCTCTTAAAATAAAATTCTTATTTTTTTTATTCTTTAATTTAAAAGTATAATTTTATTATTAAAATCGTGTTTATTTTACATATTCTGATCTAGATTAAAATGAATAAAATTATTCAATTTTATTATTTACATACATACAAACATATGTAAAATGAATTTTGCACATGCGAGTAGAATTAATATGGTTATTGCATTTAAATGTTTTTAAAAAATTCTTATTAAATTTAAAATTCAACATAATTGTAGTTTATTTATAACTACAAATTGCATTTGCATAATATGTGTATTAAAAGAATTGACTGATTGAATCAGAAATACTTGGAAGTTTCTTGAAGAGGATATACCGATTATACCTTATATCCTTTTAGATAATTAATCGTAGTTTATTAAGAATTTTAATTGACATAATCTATGTAATATTATAACAAATAATTTTAAAAACATTTAGAACGTTATTATGTACATATATTTATGTATATAGGTACAGTCATTGATCACTTATAAGCACGTCGAAAATTGCACGATTTCCGTTGTTAATATGCGGCATTTCTTATGAACGAGGTTCTCAGCTTTCTACACATGTAAATAGCATGACAAAAATTTCAGATATGCAAATAAAATTTCGATTTTTTATAAGTTTATTGAAGTTTTAATTTAAGACAACTGCAGCGTCAAAGCTCAATTTTAGATCATTCAAATTTTAGATTTTAAATTTATAGACGAAAATTGTGCAGCTTTCTTTTGGGTGTAAAAGGACAGTAATGAAATACAAAGAGGAAAGACCTCTGTCTCTGAATGTATTTATAAGCGTGTATATACGAATTCGACTGTATATTCAATGTTATATGTCATGAAAATATATAAAGATGTATGTAAGTGTACATATGTATTCAAACTACAGATATTTAATAAAATATCCTCTACGTAAGCCCAAGATTTTGGAATATGCTCCCTATGAACTCAAAAATACTTAAATATACAATAAAATACACGCATACATGTGGTCACATAAACATATTTGCTATCATCTTAGTTTCTAGTTATGATTTGGTGGATAATGAACCTCATTTTTGATAATTCAATTATTTTTATTTAATTTGGAATATTAAGTTTAGTGTACCCGTGTACCTTATTAAAAACCGTTTTAAAAATTACTTCCCTCAAAAAAAATAATTAGGTAACAATATAGTAAGTATGAATGGTAAAAAATTTATGGAAAAAAATCATTTACTAAAAAAAAGGGTGAAATATAAGCACACTTGAATGCTTCATACCAAATTATAATAAAGCAATTTGTTAATTAAAAAAAATCTACTATTCACCACCTTCATTATGAACAGTTATAATATGCGAGCACATTTATTCACACATATATAAAATTACTATTATCGTAAATTTTTTTTTTTGATTTTTTTTTGGAAAATCAGAAAGCTTATAATTGAAAATTTTCAAGTTTAAAACGCAATATAACTACTTTAGTTTGGGTTTTTTATATTCATTTTTTTTTTTTGGAGAATAATTCATAAATCAAGTATCTAAAATCTAATTGATGTTAATTAATCAAACAAAGCGAATAAATTGCTTTTTCGAGATGAGAACTACTGAGATATTTGTATTTGTAGGTGATTTGCGAAAAGGCAAAAGGTTAAAATTTTAAAAAGAAGTGAGGTAAATGAACTTGTATTTAATTAAAACAAAAAAAAATTGAGGCAGTCTCATTAGTATATTATCGCGATAATTAATATATCAGGAAAAATTTCAAATACTATTTGTGAAAATGAAATTAAAATTGTTCATTCACAAAAAAGATGAACGAAAGCCAAACATTTTAGAATTAAGTCAAATCAATGAAACGACTGGGTACGAAAAGGCATATTGCTAAATTACACTGAATCATACTATCAATGAGCTAGTATACTATTTTTGGTAAACATATTTCTATAATAAACCGTCCTACCTATCAAACTATTTTATTAAATAATTTACTATAATATTTTATTTACGTACAATTTGACTTGATTTGCGGTTGGATTCGTTTAGTAGGATTTGTAACACTTTTTAATTTTGTCCGTTGATGATTTCTTTCTAATGGAAATTTTAATACTTGTGATGGTTGTTCTAAATATCTAAAATTTCTAAAATCATTTCCATTTAAATTATCTATATTATAAAATTCATTGATATCATAATGATTGCAGCATACTAGCGGATATCGACCATATCCATTATGACATTGAGCTTGTCGTAAAAATTCGATATCATATTCTGTAATAGGTTCTTTATTTGCGATTGATATTAATGATGGACAATTATATATTGAAATACAATAACCGAAATGTCCATTTGAAGAAATACATTGAGCTGAAAAAAGAAAATTTTTATTTTACTGAAAATTGAAAATTTTGTGAATTGAATTGAATTAAAACAATAAAATAAATTAAAATAAAATAAAAATCAAAAATGTGTTTTTAACAAAACTTTTAAAATAAATAACAAACTTAATTTTTAAATTACCGAAATTGCGCAAATCAAGAACATTTAAATTATAAGTATCAGAAAATTACTTTGGGAACAAAATAATATTTTAATTAATTCTTTTGTTTTAACAAGTTAAGCAATTGAATTTTGTTAAACTTTCGTATAACAATTATATAAAAAAAAATTAAATTTTCATTATTAAAATTTCTATATAAAAATAAATTATATTAGGTCGGAGCTTAAGTATTCCAATTAAATAGAAATCAGAAAACTAACAAAAATTTTAAGTAAGAGTACCTAAATATATTAGAATGGAATATTTCACTAGATATACTATGTATAATTAAATTGTATACGGATCAGGAAATATATATAACAATGAATAATATAATTTCTAAGGTAAATCTGGGAAACAAGTTTTCTGTATTTTCTGTCGAAACGACTAAAATCATGTTTTATGTTTCTAATGACATTTCATGCTTCTTTTCAATGATATTTTAATTTACATGGTCACTTGTGCATAATTGCCTTCTTTATAGTTATGAATAATTTTATTTTCTTAGTATATTTTCCAAAAAACAAAAATTATTTTTTATTGTTTGTAGATTGCGAAAAAGTAAATGTAATTGCTATTAAATTCGTTCTTTTTTTATCCGCAAAAATAAGTGTGAAATTGCAATTTGTATACAGAAATTGGATTTGAAAAGATCATCACCCTTTTTAAAAAATTTTCAGAATATTTAGTGGGAATAAAAATGTATTTATAAAATTAAATTCTCTGGCGTATAAGAAAAATAGTAATTAAATTTAAATTGAATTTCAATCAAATTATGCTTTGATCGTAGACTTTACGTGCTTTTTTGCTGTACTTGTTCATATACAAATTTCTCATAGGCAACATTGAATAGCATTGAACAGTGTTTTGTTTCTTAAACTATATCCATTGCTAATATTTCACTGTATATAATAATCGAGATTATAAATTAAATTCTTAAAAAATTTTAAATATTTTACATTTAATATTGATCTAAATTCTATGAATAATTGAATTACTAATTATATTAGTAAATTATTTTTCCATTGTTTCAATATGATTCATTTTTAAATTGCATAAAATGACATTTTCCTATATTGACAAATTGTACCGCATTTTATAATTTGTAATTTATAATTTTAAAGATCACGATCAAAAATTTACAAAATTTATGTATTTATCTCTACATATACACATATTTATTTAAAATTACTTACAATGCACATTTTGTGAAAATAAACTAAAGCACAATAGTATAAAAATATTGCTAGACCACTTTTTAAAATTCATGTTTTTAATTGACATTTTTTTTTATAATATTGTTAACTTTTTTGGTTTAGAGCAGGATTTTTATTTTAATAAATAATTTTATTTTTCATTCAAACGTTACATAAAACACCTGTAAGCGTTTTAATTTACTTAATATGTTAAAATGAAAATAAAAGCTAGTGTAATTCACTTAACATCTAAAGTCAGACTATATTAAAATAAAATTTGTAACTGGTATTTAATATATAGTGATGATGAATAATAGTAATTTTGTTGTTCTTTTACTTATTGTTTTTTTTAATTTGATTTGATGTTAACGCGACCACTTGACCGAATAAACTGGCGATAAGACATTGTCTTTTTAGTCTTAAGAAAATAATTCTTTTCGGTATTTTTTTCTCTGATTTCTTATTTTTGTTCATATTTTTTTTTGTGTTTTATTCTGTTTTTGATTTTACTAACCACCTTAATTTTTATTTTTTATGTAAAAATTTGAAAAGCTGGTTTTAAAAACAGCTTGTATTCTGAGTCTAAGTGTTACCGGCAATAAGTTTAACTTAAGTAATTTATTGTTTTATTTTGGTTTAGTTGCTTAAACATATTATGAGAGGTGAAAAACGTTATACTAAATTGAATGATTTGCTTACACATACCCTTATTATTTCAATTTCAGTTGGTTCAACTTCTTAAATTAACATATTCAATAAAGTAACTGATTCGTTGAATTCTTTTAAGAAATTTAATTTATTTTATTCTAATTAACATTATCTTACGTAAAGAGACTAAACGGGCAAGTACACACATAGTTTATTATTGCCATTTTTTTAGTATTCTTTTAGTATTTTCTTAGTCAAATTATATAAACTGCAATTAGCAAAACTGATTGTTTCAAAATATCAATTCCTCTGTTAAGAAATTTATTTCCATTGATTTTACGGAAAAACAAAACAATTAAAAATGTTTCACTCGACGTTAACCGATTGAATTATACGTTGACAAAAGCAATCTAACTTTAAAATAAAACCTAGTAATCATAGCTGAAAAAAATTTTAAAACGTGTTTAAATTGTAATTCGGCATTTTTTTACAAAATTATTTATTATTTATTAAAAGGTACTTACCATTCAATAAAATTTTGTAATATTTAAAATTAGTGTTTAAAGTTTCATTTGAGACTGACCACATATCTGTCAAGTCTTATGCAGCTTAACTTTATTAGTTTGTGAAATATATTGAATATATGTTCTTGTACTTTAAGGCAGCTATCCAATCTAAACGCGTTGTTCAAAATATTTCACTTACAAATGAAGTTGTCTTTAGCCGAAAAGAAGAAATTTCTGAAAGTTTGATGGTGTTTTCCGTTTCCGTTAGTTTTTGAGTTATCGTTCTAACAGACGGACGAACACACATGTTCATATTGCAAGTAATTAATATTAATTATTAATACACCAAACTCCATACACCAAAATTAATATAGTATATACTTCATTGACAATGATTTACACATAAGAAAATTCTTATACATACAATGTCTAAGCAGCATATGATTCACTATAAATTGCCAGTAACATTAATTGAGGTACAGTACATGTCTACACAAAAATATCTATGCATATATTGTACTATATAAGTTATGGTAAAAAGTAAAATTAAATGAAAAAGAAAAATAAAAGTGCGAAATTAAAAAATAAGAAAAAAATCATAGGTCGGATATTACCGGTTAAAAAAATGATGAAAAAGAAAAATAAGAACTTTATAAATAATGAAAATAAACAAACAAGGTGAAGGCGAAGGCGATCAAAATGTTATTGCTTGAAACCAAGTTAAAATAAAGTGTAAGAATCAATTTTGTAATAATCTTCATTGAAGGCAATTTTAAATGGACATTCGTTGATGAAATTATATATTTACTTACATGGACGAGATATTTACATTCATATGGGCATATTTTCAAAATTTTATGCATCAGATTGTATTTTTAAACAATTTTATAGTAGGATGCAATATGTTGCATCTTTAAGTCATTACTAAAATTACATTAAATTTTAGCTATGAACTTTTTAGAAGCTATTCTTTTCTCAAAAAGAAATTAAATATACACAGCAAATTTTAAAAACAACGTTTTGAATAAAAACAAGGTTCGTAATCTACTAATGTTAAATATCTACATATCAGGCTATTAGATCACGTATCTACATATCAGGCGAGCAAGAACCAAGTATAGAAATGATTTTTCGATGTATTTTGAAGAAATTTAAAAAAAACAATACTTAATTTATATTCCGAAATATTCCAATTAAATTTTTTTTTATTTAATTTATGATTTTCATTTTTTTTAGTAGGTTTTTAAAAGCTATCGAGAAATATTATAATTGTTACCGGCCGCATTACATACAATAAGAGAGGTGATGTGATGGCAATAAATTTTGCAAATCGGTTTTTGGTGAAAATGCACTTCTCCATGGTAGAGAAATGTAAATAAACTATTTAGCAAACTGTCAGCCTGTCAATCTGTTTGTCTGTGTTTGAACGCGTGTATCTCAAATTCGGTTTTCATGAAATTTCATTAAATTTTATATGTAAGCTTGTTTTGATTATGTAACGGATTGATCAACATTTGAGATATATCAGGCCTTGGGAACTGAACTTTTTTGAGGGCTAATTTTAGATATTTGCGCATATAAAGAGAAATTCAACCGATTTCCTTGAAATTTAATATTTAAATGGGCTAAAACAATAAACCTGTAAATTGAAACTGAACTGGGGGTTGATTTTACATTTTTTATCATATCTGCAGAACTAATTGATGGAATTTCCTGCAATTTAATATTTGAGTTCTGATTGTTACCGAAACCTAGTGGTTTTCAAGGAATTCGGATGGCTAAAAGTCTATGAAATTCTATAAGACTCAAATTTACATTTTTTTCTAAGTATGTTAACTAAAAGCTTACTATTGCCTTTAAAATTGGTATGAAGTGTTTAAAAAGCATTTTCGTAATTGTCTGTAACACTTTCGCTAATTGCGGTCAGTTATCTGCTGACCACATCAGATTTTTTTTTCTTATGGGAAAAAGAAATTGTTGAAATTGCTTTCATTTTTTTTTAATTTTAGAATCAAATATTTTTTTCTGTAATTCGCAATACCTTTTTATTTGAAAGACTGAAGAAAAATTCGGTTGCGTTATAACTTGCATTTGAATTTTTCAAGCGGATTTATATTCTTACCGATTTTATTGGAATTTGAACATAAAATATTTAAATAAAATTTTTTTTACACAAATAATTTGCTTGTGATTTTCCTAGAGATATGGAAATTATTTTTGATTTACTCTCTGTTTGCACCATTTCCTGCTCCATTGGCCAGTTGATTTTCATATACTCATTATATCAATAAAATTGCATTTACAATTGCAAATACATTTTTGGTTTTTCGAATTTAGTAATTGAAATTCTTGTTTTAAAGTTCTTATTAAATATTATTCTTATTAAATATTAACGCTACAAGATGTCATCTAAATAAAAGTTTATCACATTCATACCGTTAGTGAATTCTTTTAAGATAATTAATTAATTAATAAAATCTTCTTGCGCATGAATCTTTATGTTTATTTGTTTATCATCGACCACAAATGCTGTTTGTTTATAACATACCCACAAAATTAGTTGTGGTTTCCAATATTTTCTTAATTTTTTTCCCTATCAGCTAACACATAGTTACGAGTACACATTTATGTAAACATGTGTATAGGTGGTAACAAAGTATGTCTTTAAATGTAATGAAAATTTGACGTCAAAAACGTATATATGTATATGTATTATAGTAGTCAAAATTAATAAATCATTAAGAGGTTAATATATTTGGTATTTCAAATACCTGTTTATTTACATATTGATAAACAAATTCAAAAGATAATATGTAGATTAAAGCTGCTCTTCTATTCATCCATATGTGTATATATGAATGAATTTGTGGTTATAATATTATGCTAATAATTTATACAGTTTATTGAAAATTAAATTTCAAAAAATATTAAAGATGAAATTATGTGATATACAAATAAACAAAAAGTATATTCAACTTAATGTCGTCAAACATTAATTGATGTTGATCATTTGATAATAATGAAATTGTATTCATGATTAGTAGCTGTACTAATTATTAAGTATTCCTTAATTTCCTTACTAATTATTAAGTATCCTTAAATTTGTTACAAAATTTTGGAAATTTTTGTTTCCATAGCTGTTTCTGAAAAATTATTCATACACAGGTTAAATTTTGCTAATAATTTATATCTTGGACTCACTAAACATTTTATTCAAATTTATTTTTTACAAAATTTTCCATTTTAATTTTTTTCCACGGAAATCATGCTTTAAAAAAAGAAACAGGACATTTACTTTTTTTTTAACAATAAAATATATGGGCTGGCAATATAAAAATCACTTGAAAAGCACATCTTAACATCGTAAAATCATAAAATTTCAAGAATAAGAATTGTCAATGGTCTTCTTACTCAGTTATCATTAAAACATCGAAATAAAAAACAAATTAATTAGTAAAAGTTTTGAGAAATTTTATTTCATCGGGTTTTTCTGCACAAACGGATATTTCGACAAAATATCAAAAATTTGTATTTTAAGTAATCAAATTAAGAACGATAATAAATAATGAATTTGAATAAATAAGAACAGGGAGGAAAAAAGTTAATAATTTGGAAAATCCATATTACTCGAGAGAAATATGAAAACGATTTCACTTGTAATCATTTATAAATTTTGTATATTTTTGGCATTCACTTCCCAATTATATTTTATACTTGGTTAAGTTCATGTATACATACGTTAACTTTATACGTTTTCTTATGCCGTATAGTACATTATGCCTTGTTTTGTTGAAATCAACAGAAATATACGAAAAAAATCTGATATGGTTAGCGAATAACTGAGCGAATTGGCGATATGTTGTGAAATATATTTTAAAGTTTCAGTAACTACAATTATTCACCTACATATATTAATTTGAATAAATACTTACAAGATAGTAAAAATATTTTTTGAAAATTTTGAAAACCTCTTTTGTAGATTTCATCACTAAATATTGTGGCATATAAAGTAAGTCTCTTAATAATGTAGCTCCGAAAATGTAAAACCGCGTGTTAAGAGATTTCCAATTGCAATGTTGATGAGCAATTTGTTTACTTTCGTTGCTTACTTCCATAGACAAATTGAAAAAATTAAAATATTTAGATAAAGTTAAGTCCCCGAGTCCTACACTTACCTCAAAAAAAAATTGTCACTTTCGTTCTTTTGACAATAAAACCTGAAATATAAGAGAGTTTGTTAATATTTTTTTTTTAAATTATCAATATAAAAAATTTACCCTCATAAGAAACATTCAGTTTTCTGCTTTTTCCAAAGAGCTTCTGGACTCGTTCTTTTGTCAAACAGAAAATACATAAAATATCCATAATGTACATATTCAAGGAAAGTTAATGGGCGATGGCATGAATAAACATAAGAATTTTGTAGAAGATTAATTTTTAACATAAATAAATTAATTCTCTACTAATTTTTGTGCTCTCAGCAAAGTAAACTTTGCGCAGTATTTATTTACATAAAATAAATAATGATTCTACGGAAAAATCCAAATTCTCAATACAATTGGTTTATTTTCAATGAAAATGTTTTATCAAACTAAAATTGCATAAGTTTGGGCGAAACACGCATTTTTAGTAAGAAGATAGTATGAAGATAGTTATGTAGAACAGAAACAATATTTTTCGTAAGAGTAAATTACATAAATATAAGCAAATGATATTTTATTAAACATATAGCAACAACAAATTGGAACATTTGTTTTTTCATATTTATCATATTTATATATAAATATTTGCATATGATATAAAACTAATGTTAATTTTGAATGTTATAATGTCACTAATGTCATTGATTTAATAATTTATATACTGACTTCAAATTACTGATAAAAATTTTAAAATGATGACCATGCCATATAGAAGATATTGCAAGCTAAATTAGTTATCTTAAGTTTACTAACCGCAAGATTATATTTTAATTGCAACCTGTTTCTAATTTGTTGAGGTGACTTAGATTTTATTGACAAAAACATTAGAAACACAAAGAATTGTCACATTTGTGCTCTATTTCCTATTTCATACATTTTATGTGCCTAATATCACATTGAACTTGTTTCTGACCTTTCAAAACCACAAAATAATCGTATTGTAATATATTGAACAGAATTTTTCTTTCTTTAACAGTGAGTCAATTTATAATTTATATTTATAATATATTTAAATTCTTGTACATGGCAATAAAAAGTATAAAAATTCGCAACTTTTTAAATGTTAAAGTTAAAGCTTCATATCGGCTTGCACTCTTAAATTATACATTTTAATTAAAAAAATACGCTTTTTTTATTAAAATAATTTATAATTAAGACTCATTTAGCCCACCGAAATGCAACTGGTTGTATAATATATTCGTGTGACCAAAAGGAATACTCGCTAAAGTTGATTATTGTTAACTTTGATGAGAGAAAAAATTACAATTTACACAATTTTTTTTAATCGTTTTTTTTTAATGTTTATAATTGATAGCAAGACTAAGGCTCAAAAGCTGTTAATTAGATTGTGGAGTTTACTTTAATTTTTCTTTAATTTTTGTATATTTTATACAATTTAAGTGACTTTAATTTATTTTCAAAATTTTCCATTTAACAAATTCCACTTTTTCGCTATTTCCAAATTGTTTCGAACAAATTTTAGAGGCTATAGCTGGAGATCAGTCAGGGAGTTGGGCGCGAGCTCCGCAACACTAAGCCTCGCGCAAACTATCTGCACCTCCTGGCGGCCAGAGCAGGACAGTCACACAGTATAGCGTATGTATCGTATGTATTTCCTCACCACTATCGCAGAACCTACACAATTTGGAGTCCGATTTGCCCAGTTTATGCAAGTGATATTTCACCGGACAATGCCCAGTGAAGTAGCCAGTAATATCACGAACCCGGTTTTGATCCATCCCAAGCCAGTTGAGATCTGTTCTCACCAGTTTGAGAACACAAAAGTAGGTGTGTGCCTATCTTTCTGCCCTATTTATTTTTATATTATTAGAAATGTTATTATGTACAGTGTCAATAATTAAAACCAACTGTTAAGTGGGGAAGATTTTCATATAACTTAATAGTAATGCAAATATTAATTTGTAAAACTTATTAATACCGGAACGACACTTAAATACTTAATTTTTTTGTTTTATTATTTAATTTCTTCTCTATTCCTCCAGTAATATTCCAATAACACATTAAATTAATTTGAATTATACATTCTAAATTTTTAATATTGTATAATTATTTCTACATAAAAAGGTTCAGTAATGGTTTACAGCTCACATTAAGCTCCAAAATTTTTGATCGAATTGCCAAAAAAAAAAAAATTACCAAGGAAAATTCGCTTTAAATTATTTAATTAAGCATTCAATCTGTCAAATAATGTATATGTAAGTCCAAATTAACTAAATGAAAAAAAGCAAGCTCAGCAAAGTTACCATTACTGTTTGTATCATAACATATTTTTCGTGTAATTGTCGTCTACACTTTATTAAATATATTTACTACGTATAAGTAAATAAAAAGCACCCAATATTAATAATGTATGAAGTTTAACACTCGCATTGTATTCTAAATAATTTTTGACCTAAAATTAAATTTATTTTTAAATTTACTCGTTCACATATTTAAATTAAAATTAAAAATAACACAACATGTACTTTACATTCATACAAGTTTCAAAAGTTAAAAACAACAACAATAAGAACTGAAAAAAAAATCAAGTCAAGTTCACGAACGTATAGACTGTTTATACAGTTTTGTTAGTGCACTTTCACTTTTCTTTAAAAATGAAAGAAAGGCGAAGCAACGAATACAAAAACAGTACGGAAAAAATAACAAAAAACAAATAAGAAAGCATTTGTATAACTGCAACAAAATATAATAACAAAACAAAAAAAACTATTATTTTTCGGAAATGACATAAAGCATATTGCATCATCACCTATACTTACATATACTTGAAGTACTCACACACTCTTATATTTTCATATATGGTAAAAGCTATTGTTATTAAATTCGATTTTTGCTTCTTAGTATATCGTATGTGCTTTCACCACACTACAATTTTAATCAACAAAATAAAAAAAAAATACATAAATAAAACATAATATGCCGGCTTCAGTTAACATAAACATTAATTAAGTTTTTGTCTGCTTGTTTCCTATCATTTTTCAAAGCTTCTTCGTTTGTATTTTGATCACCTACATGTACACATACTATGACACTCCTTTGCATTTATTAACGGATTATTACGAGATTATATTTACTGATTGACAAGTAAAATACGAAAACAAAAATTATTAAAATATAAAAAAAAACATGAAAACGAAAAATTATTATGCAAATAACTGTTTATATTCAATAATCGTCAGCGGCAGAGTCCCACTTTAATTTTCGAAGAAAAATTAAAACAAATTGTCATAAATGTAATAAAAAAAAATAACAATAATTATGATTATTAATAAAATTATTTTAAAATTTAAATAAACTGAATATAAGATTACCAAGCTGAAATTATTTGCCGAAATATTCCGAAGTAAAAATATTTACAAAAACAATCTATCAGACAACTAAGCTGAGAGAGTAAATCAAAAGCCATTTCTAATTTTGTTCGAAAATCAGAAGGTTTGTTCAACAATATTTGTGTGAGGCAAAATTAACTAATATTTTAATTGTGCTGGTTTTATTATATTTTGGTGCTTCATCACCAAAAGTCGAAACAAGTTGATCGAGACACTCTTGTCTCGATAATCCGCGCCGAAAATCGTAAAAAAATCATCGCACGAAAATTTTCACGGGACAATTCCATTTTTTGACCGAGATGAATTTTTCAAGTCACTGTAAACAAAACAATTCGCGCTCGAATGACAAAACGTTCTGAGTGAAGTTGTCCTAAAAAATGTCAAACTTTCCAATGGAAGTGTCAGATTGCACCTGGCAGCACTAGTATTGCCAGGACCCGAAATATAAATTGTGACCCTCGTACTCGTAATTTGTAGAATACGTACGTCGTCATTTGGATTTTCTTCAAAATTCTTTGGAAAATAATTTCAGCGTTGGTTTACATATATGACATTATACTCGGCATTGGATTTAAGTATTCGGATATTGTACGGCAGTTTTTATATTTTCATATTTTTAAATTAGTTATTTAAATCTGTTATTTAATTTATTATTAGTTAAAATTAAATTGTACTAAATTATTGAGAATATTCCAATTTTATATTGTAATCAACGAATTATTATATAATTTAAATAATTCCAAACAACAATTATAAAATAAAAAGGAAGTATGTATATAGTTATGACAAAATATATATGAAAACAGTGAAACTATATTGCTATTGAAATTGCATTCGCAGTCCCATTACTTTTTCTGTTCTTGTTACAAAATTAAAAATTAAGCTCTTGCTAAAAATTTTAAATTTTAGAAATTCATTTTGCTTTCCGTAATTCTTTTGTTTTTTTTTTTTTTAATTTCAATTTTAAACCACAATCACGCCCAAATTTTATTTAGATTTTTGATAAATTTACATGAATTATTCTACTAAAAAATCGAGAACTGTAACTTTTAAATATGTTAAAAGTCAAGCATTTTAATCTCATTTTGTTAATAAAAAAAAACCATTCTCTTCTCTTGAGCTTTCTTCTTCTTAATATAACCATAATTCAAAAAAATTTAATTAAACAAATTATTTCTAGCTATTTAATATTATTTATCTATATAATTCGTTAAATATCTAAAATAACAATAAATTATATTAAAAAAAAAAAAAACAAAAAATTCTAAAACATTTAGTATAGTGCATTATTTTCCAGAGCCATGCATTACAGAATGTATCCAGTCAACGTATTCAGTAACATTTGTATATACAGCCGGATGACCTGCTAAACCACATTGAGAGAATCCATAACTAACAATTCCGTAAGCGATCCATCTGTATACATTTTTATCAAAATACATTAGTGGTCCACCACTATCACCAGCACATGTATCTTTTGATAGTTCACCACCAGCACAAATTTGTTTATCAGTTATTTCAGCTCCATGTTCTTTTAAAATTTCTGAACAATTCTCGTTGGTTACATAAGGTACTTGCAATTTTAATTTGATTGGACTTCGAATATTTGGAAAATAATCATTGACTAAAAAGATAAAATAAAACAAAAATAATTTCTGATTAGCTATGGATATTGAAATAAAAGTTTTATTGAAAAGTTTGAAGTTCTTGTGACCTAAAAGTATGCAAATGATGTGAAGAGAATTTTGCATCTTGTTTTTACCATTGTTTCAAATTGATCAAAATTTAATAATTTTAAATTCAATATTTGTAATTATTTCATAAGGTAGTCTTTTTTGAAAAAGCAGAGGCAAAAATAAAACTATAAAATTATATTATAAAATTCAAAATATAAAATTTAATTCAAATGAAAAAGAAAAAAATGAATGCATTGTTCAAAACAATACTTGATTATAAACTTGTGTCAAACAGCTTAGAAATAACATTAGAAATATAATGATTTCCAATAAAAAATTTAAAAATATAATGTTTATTGGTTTAAACTTACATAAATCAGTACGTCCCCAGCCAGAAACTGAAAAATATTTTCCCTCTTGAAATGGATTCTCTAGCATTTTATTACTAAATTTTGGCAAGCAAATTGGCATTATAAAATGTGTAAATGAAACATAATTTTTTAATCGAATCAATGCAATGTCATCAGACTTAAATGGTGAATCTTCATTATAATTCGGATGAACAAAAATTTTATCAACTTCAACATCAATAGCAGCATCAGCACAATTCAAATAATTTTCTTCTTCAATACAATCAGGTTGTGAATTTACATTAAATTCACCGAGCCTTATTAATTTCCTAAAATTAAATAAAATAGTTTTCATAATATTATTTTATGGTTAAATTTATATACGTACGTACAATCCATTCTTCTTCCGTACAATACCACCTGTTACACAATGTGCTGCTGTTAAAACAAAGTTATGACTAATCAAAGAACCACTACAACCAAACTCATCTGGAATTAACAAAAAAATGTTTTATATTTATTATAAAATATTAAAAAATATTTCTTTTTCGGACTATTTTAATGTGAATACTTTAAGGTAGAAAGAATGCATACATATTTAATAATTCAGGAAGTAAAATAAATAATTTCAATGTTAAATTGTAGAAGAATATCATAGCGCTTAAAATTAAGAGATCTAGCTTTATTTGATGTAATGCCAGTCATATATAACGAATGAATACATTGCATGGCAACTCTTTTCTGTTCTCTGTAGCTCATCTTTATTACGAGTATTTTATATGTTCTTTCTATTGAAAATCTTTTCAATGTCCTCGCGAAATGTTCTACGCTTATTAAAATTTTGGGTATATAGATAATTTTACGCATTTGGCAGAATTTAATTTGGCAGAATTTTTAATAGCCGACGTCAATAAAAATTATTTAACAATAAAACTTATAATTTTAAAACGCGCTTAATCTTATAAATATATATACATGAAAATCTGTTATATTTTATATAAAAATTATTTAAACAGATGTTTTACTAATAATTAAAACTGAAAGTTTCAGTTTTAATTAAGAAAAATGTTATCATTCTATGTTTATATTTTGACATTATTCATACAGCATGAAGGAATTAATTGCCCACATTTTATAATTAAAATATTATTTGAAAAGTCTGTTTGATATATTATATGTACAGTTAAACAGATTACGATTATTAATTAAGGAAGATATTATTAAATACATATTTGGATATAAAATTAATAATACAATGGCCAAGGAATTTGTTCCAAGAAAATTGATTTTTCAATAATAATTTTAGAGAAATTTATGATATTTGTTGAAACTTTCACTAAAAATATAGAGCAGAATAGAAAGATATTGCTTATAAAGTTTACAAAACCAATAAGAACTTAAAATATTTTAAATAAGAACAATTATACAATAAGTATCGTGCGTTTATTGAAAAAAAATTTATTGTGTCCGGCGTATAACAAACCGCACAACAAAGTATCTGAATGATATTTGAGAATAATTTACAAAATTTATTTATACAAGATGATTCACTAATCAGTAGCATACAATATACCATCAGTTAGGGTATCAGAATAAGGCTAAAATTTTTGTTAAGAACTGGGTGTCAAACCTAAACGATTTCCGGGATAATTTCTACTTGTTTAAGCTTTTTTGCTTATAACTTTCCTTCCGCAGAAAACAGAAAATTCAAATGAACAGTTTCTGAAAGGGCTTGAAAGAGCCATTACTTGATTTAGAATTTTATGTATTTTCGGAAAAACAAGCATTCGAACTTTAGGAAAAAATGTACGAAATGTCTTGTACGAAATTTTTTAAAACTTTGAATTTTTTTACAGATTTTTACCCAGTTGTTTTAGTTTTAATTTAAATCAAAAACGTTAAAAATTCTTTTATAAAGTACAGTCATGATTTTAAGAGCGTTAATAAATCGTAAAAATCATAAAATTGTCACTATTTTTTATTTTTATTGTTTTTAAATGCTGTTATTTTCAACTATTCCTAATTTGATTACAATAGTCACTCTGGAAAAATGTTGACATTTTTAGGAACCGTTATTTTGGTAAAAAAAAAGAAATTTTAAGGTTTTTATTGAAGTACAATAAATTTGCCTAGTTCTGAACAAAAATTTTACTCATTTCTGATGTCCCAAAATGATGGTACGAGTATATATTATTCCAGTGATTACTGAATCACCCTGTATATTAGTTTATATTGTCATTCTAGTATGTACAATATATGATTAGTTATGCATAACTAAAGTTGAACTACGATACTGTGAACGTCACAAACTCCTTTAGACAGTTGTTTTATTGTTTTTTATTTCTGTATATTGTTTTAAATGATTTAATCCTTTAAGCCGCTTTAAATTCGTTCATCTTTTAAAAATTAAAATTCTGAACCACATATTATGTGTTTTTTTATATAGAACCGGTGTTGATCTTATATATAGAATATTAATATAATTTAGAATAATTAAGGTCTTATATTAGGCGTTAAACATGAATAAAATTAATATGTACATTTAAATTTTATAATTAAGATATTAACATGACGTCAGGGAAATCACCGAACTATAATGCTTTCGTTTAAGTATTTAAGACTATAAATTATAATTTTTTTGTTTTTTTTTTTTTGAAAATAAAGCCTAAAGTCGTCTAGAAGAATTAATTTGAATATTTATAAAAGAATATTCTCTTACGGCTACTGTTTCAGATTAAGATTAACATTTCAACCTGATAGTTAGTTGAAAAAAAATAAGAGTAAATTAATTAATTTGTAAAAAAATTTGTCGTGTATTAATTTTATGAAATAAAATAAGTGATTAAATTTGATACCATCTTAATATTATATTTGTAGAAAAATTTTATTCATTTGATTTAAATGCTGCATTAGTGAATTCAAAAGTACAAAAAGTTGATTGATTACAATAAAAGTGTTTATAGTGCTTAGGGTTTGTTAAAAATTTTCTAATCAAAGAATTAATTATAATTGACTATTCTAAAAAAGAACTCGAAATCGTTTTTACATTAGGTAAAATTAAAACTACAATTTATTGTCGCTTTTCACTATAATTAACAATATTACAAAATAAATTAATCAAATACTTGCTTATTGTAATAATCATAATATAAACAAGATAGGTGCCTGCTAGTGTAACGTTGATTATCCTGGATATTTTGGTTGATTAAAGATTTATAATGTCTATTCAAAAATTTTACTTACTAAACCAGACAAACTATTGATTATAACAAACGGTTAATGAGTAGACGATGATATAAAAAATTGTGCCTAAATAACATTTTAATAAAAAAAAATTAATAAATAAATTTTTAATTAATGAAATATTTTAATAAGAATATTTGGAAGGTTTTCCGAAAACAAAAATTAATTTGTATGTGATTAAATAATAAAATAATTTATAACTCTCTTTGATTCCAAATTATTTATACGTTGAGTTCGTTCCAACTACATGAAATAAATTATAGGGAGTAGTTAGAAGCAGTCCGTAAATAAACGCTTTTCTCTCTAAAGTAGGATTGCTACACAGGAGTAATAAATAGCAAATATAATTTTAATTTAAAAATTTAATGCCATCTACTGAAAGTGTGAGTATTGAAAGAGAAAGAGTAAAAAGAGAGAAATAGTGAGTAAAAAATATTTTTCTTCACTTGTCTCTGCTATTCATTAAATTGTTGCTACACTTTGTAGGCAATGTTATACCCGGGTATTTTGGACTGCATTATACGTCCTTTAAGTTTTTTACCTTCTTCTTATTAAGCATAGCTTAAAAATTTAGATCTGTCATAAATTATGTGCGTATAATGATACTATTGTTCCGCCTTTTAATAAAGTTTTTTTTACAAAACAAAAATCATATTTCCAGTTTCTTTCTTTTAGAAAATTTTAACTCCGCCTTTCAATACATTTGTTATTTTGCATACACATTCTTTATATCTTCATACCATAAACAAAACAAGATATAAGCCTATACAAAAAAATAAATCTTTTGTTTATAAAATAAATTATTTAATTTTAAAACCAATCGGAATCAATAAAATTTAAGTGGCGCGAAATTTTTCCAATATTTTATTAAATAAAAACAAAAGAAATTCTTGTAAATTTTTTTTGATGGTACTTCCCCCCTGAAAAAATGGAGTAGATATTAATTTAGAAAATTTTTATAATATTGGATTTTTTTTCTTAATTTGTTTTACAAAATAAGACAAAAACAAAAATGATGATAAAAATTAAATAAAGAAGAGAAAAGAAGAGAAAATAAAGATAACCGGAAAGGACATTTTTTTTTCTCCATAATTTATTTTTACACGTGACTCAATCAGAATGCCTTTGACTTTATGTTTTATAATCTGTTTTTTTTTTTATTTTTATTGTTATTTTGTTATCTATACCTTAATTAGTTTATGGGTATCATAGGTCAAGTTTTTGTATAAAATTATTTTAAAATAGATTTTTTAATTAGGTTATAAAAGTCAATAGAATTTACAAATTTGGATGCAAAAAAATAAATAACGCGTGTAAAAAGAGTGCTATTGGCTTCTTTAAATTTCACACAAAATTGTTTATTTTTAATATAAAACTTTAACGATATAGCTTTCCTGAGATTTTATTTATTATAAAATATGGTGGAGTTAAATAAATAATGGTTAAACTCATTCGATTTTATAAATTTCGAAATTCTGGAATCCAAATAAATCAAATTCTGGATTATTCGAATTTCTACATCACTCCTTTTCTCCTATCTAATAAATCATACGGAATTCCACTACGGCTATTAAATGGAATTCCATTATTTAGAATTCCATTTACGGTTTATTTGAAAATTTTTAGCACTATACTAAATTAAATTTAGTTTCCATTGATTTTAAAACAAAAAATATATCACAGGTCAAGCCTTAATGAAGCTTTTTTAAAAATTGGAATTAAAAAAAATATTATATTAATATATTACAACATTTAATTTTTCTAACTGAATTTGTGTTGTTTTACTAAAATTCATAAAAAAATTTAATTTTATTTAGTTTGAAATATTTTAAATTATTATTTTTACTTTTGAATTTTCTTTTACAATTGAATTCCGGAATTATACCGGAATTCCGGTTTTAATTCTATGTAATTCCGATAATTCCGGAATTTATATTTTGACAAAAATTGAATTCTCTACTTTCAACGCAACATAATTACATAAAAAAAAGTTTTCTTTTAAGTATGCAATGCCGTAAATCACCCAAAATTGTAAATAATTCCGACTCTCAAATTGCCGTAATGCTACAACTTAAAACTGAAGCAATTAGAAGTCATAAACTGAATTGAGTAAATGAATAATATTGTACTGCAATTTTGGACTCAAAATAGACTTTCTGCCAATGGTCTATCCAGTTCAAAATTCAGTTTTTAAGAAACTTCATCAAGGAATTTTGAGAGTATTTATATTTTTTGTCTATTTTTGTATTTTTTTATGGCTTCTTTTTAGTGTTTTTATTCCGGTATATATTTTATTATTATTGTTAGTTATTCTATACGCGACCTTTAGTTTTTCTATAAATTAATTTTTTGAAATGAAAAATTGTATTATGAATTCTAAAAGTTTTTTACAAAATAATTTTTCTTATTTTATTTTTAAATTATTCGTTCAAATTCAATTTTAATACTTGTACAATTCCTATAATTTATACTTTTATAAATATTAAATTTTTAATAAATTTTTATTCATTAAATATTTTTAATGAATTAAATTTAATTCTTTACTGCTTTTCCCAGATTTGATTTTTTAATTAAAATTTTCTTATAATTTGAATTATATTAATGTATACTTTTATGAAATTCGAATCAACAATCGATTATAATTAATTTTCATAATTTTAAGCTTTTTAATAATCACGCAAACTTAATAATAATTTTTTAATAAGTTTTTCTTTTTAAATGTTAATTTATTTGCAAATGATTGCAATAACAAAAAATATTACATTATTATTATAAAAAAAATGTAAAATAATTTAACATAAATTTCACTTTTATAGCATATGGTAAGTTTAATAAGTATTTGCTCGTGGTAATTACTATTAAAAAATCAAATACTATTCTGGAAAATTTGCGTAAATATTGTAACAATATTATTGAAATATTTAGATATAATTATAGAATTTTGCATTTTATAGCATTAATTGACTTACCAGAATTATAAAATATTAGTGCTAACCAAGGATATTCATCTAATTCAGCAATTTCACCACCATAAATACGATTTGTTATTTGACGTCCACAATCCTCATACATTGAATCCATTCCATTTATTTTTGTACTAGCAGCACCTACAACAATTTTTCTAATATTATTTTTATTTGTATTTGTAACACCCATTGTAGCTGAACTACTATATTGTACTCTATCACTTAATTTTGGTGTTAAAAATTTTAATGTTTTCTTTGTTGAATTAATTTCACTTGATGTTTCCGATGACATTTCATTACCAACTAAAATTCGAGGTTTTACAATAGGTTTTGTAAAATTAATAATAGGATTTAAATAAGTTTCATTATCAGATTTAATTGAATCTTCAGAACGTTTATATTTATTTCGTATAGGACAGCATACATGTGGTATCCAATTTTCTAAATTGAAATTATTTAAATTTAAAAATTCAGTTTTATTTTCACATTGAATTCTTTTCATAAAATTTATATTTTGTGAAGTTAAATTATCTCTTAGATCACGTAGTTTTAAATATGGTTCACATAATCCAATTGGAAGACATTCACCTAATTCATTTTCATTTGGTATAACACAATATATTTTATTAATATTATTAATATTAAATGTATTAAAAGCATTTATAATAAATGGTAAATTTAAATTATTAGTAACTGAATCATTGGCATTTAATAAATTTGTTTGTTGTATAATAATTGTTATCGTATAAATTAAAAATAATGTTAAATGTTTTTTTATTGTACAATGTAGGCGTAAATAATTATTATTTAATAATTTTCTCATTATATACATTTTAAATTAAAATTTTTATAATTATAATTTGAATATATATTTTTTTTATTACAAGCTATAAAAATTTTTAATATTTTAATAATAACTTCCGAATTGTAATATCACAAAAATATAACTGATCAATATGAAATAAAACTTTTCACGTAATCGCTTGATTTCACAAGGGCTTTTGGACTTTTTCTTCTATTTTCAATCGGCTTATAAATAAAAACGGTGGTGGATTTTATTTGGTAGCATTCGTTTAAAAAGCTAATTTAAAACTGATTACGATCAAACTTTCTTAAATTAAGCTTTAAGGTACATTTTATATTTATAGTCAGTTTTATGGATTATATAGCATCATTTTGTATCGTATAACATAATATAAAATAATCACAGGTGGAAAATGATTTTGTTTCTTTGTTTGTTTTATTGTTTATATTTTGTTTTTTGATAATATGTAAGCATAACAATATTTTCGAACTTTTTAATAAGTTATGAATAAAATAGAAGAAAAAAAAATAAATGAACCTGATAACAATCTTTTTTTATTATTGGTTTTTTATGATTCTTATTCATCTAGGAATTTTAGTGTGTTTTCAGGTGATCTTTCTTTTTTTTTTTTGGGAAAACAAATATGAAAAATTACCGATATTAATGAAACATAAATTAATATTTTTATGCAAAAATATAGAATATTAGATCATCTTAAATGTAAAGAAAAATTATTTAATAAAATAATAAAGTATTGTTTTTTATGGTAAAAGCAAAACGAAAACAGAAAAAAAATTTCTTATAAAAATGTTAAGATAGGTCGCCGTGATACAAAGGGGAAAATTATGTCTGAATTTTAGAAATTAAAGAAATAATTTAAAATTACTTATGCATATTTAAAAATTTCGTTATTAATTTATTATTTTATTACAAAATTCACATAAGAACCGATTGATGTATTTATTAATACAAAAATTGATATATATATATGTGATTTAGTTGAATAATTAGATAAACAAATTGCTATCAAAACATCCTGCAATTAAATCTATTAACTCTCATTCATAATTATCTTATAAAATTTATATTATCATATAATTTAATTACTTCTATAAAATACCCTTACATGTCCTAGAAATACCCAAATAAAGATACAAATATATGTATATGTTAAAATTTTTGAATATTAATAGATCTAAACCAATATAACCCGCTTATGGGTATTAAATATCTGCAATTTAAAATAACCATGCGCAACACATCTCAATATTAAATAACTAAACAAAAGAAAAAACATAATTTGATTTTTTGGATTTTTTCGATTTAATTTTGTAGTTATGAATGCGTAGATGAATGATGCCTCTAAAATCTATTTTAAATAATATAGCATATTAGGAAATTTTAATTAGCAAAAATATTCACTTTTTGAATATATAAAACAAGTTTAAATTTTATTTTTAATAATTATTTTTCTCTTTCAATTAATGTATTCGGAAATTTCAGAATGATTGCGGAAAACTTCTTAAAAAATTTGTTTGTCACTTTTTCTTTTGTCGCACTATCACTGTAATAATAAATATTAATAGATTATTATATGCAAAAGTGTGTATATTTACTATTTGCCTTTTTTAGATTCAATGTTACGTGGGTACAATTATTGTATAACAAAAGAGTAAAAAATTTTTGTTATCAATACAAAAAATTTTAGTTTTGCAGTAAACAAAAAATTGGAAAGCTTTCAATACTATCTAAAGCTCTAACTATTTTTATAATATCAGAAATTATTTATACATAGCACAGTAATATAAGAATAACACACAATAAACGTAAGCTTTGGTAATTTTAAGTAATCATTTTCCTTGTTTTTAAAATTTATACATATACATAGTTAGAACAAGATAGATATAAATGTATATGTACAAATATTGAGAAATAAATGTTGAAATAATTGTTAGTAATTGTTAATATTAAGCAAGTTCGTAATATGTATTTCTGGCTAAAACATAAATTCTACGAAAATTACTTAAAGTATCTGAATATTTTGTTACTCTGTATTTGTGAATGTAGAAGAAGGTCAAATTAATTTCAAGTGGAGACGAACACAATTGAAAACATTTTTAATAAGACTATCAGAGATGTAGTCGGAGTTTTTAATATAAGAGAAAACCTAAGTAACCAAAGAAAATTATGCATTGAATACAATTTGTGTGGTTAAATATTTTCTTCAGTATAAAGATTTTTCAGTAAAATTTTCTAATAAAATGAATATATACTTAGAGTTTGGTAAATTTTTTAAAATTAAAAAATTATTTTGATTTTTGTTTTCTAATTTGAATCAGAATCCTTTTAAATGGCAATGAGGAAGGTCTGCATCGATTGCATTTCTATAAATTTAGGAAAATATATTTTAAAATAAAAAACTTTCTTCCTTTAGCTATTTTTTTTGCAAACAACAAGAAAATATTTAAAAAGATTTTTATAATAATATTTTTGGATGAAAATTTCTTAAAACATAAACTCTATACATTTTTTTAAAAATCATGAAAGAAAATGAGAATTGCTCTTCCTGCGCGGTTGCTTAAACTTGCAACGGCAGTGACTTGTTATAAAAATGAAATACGAGTACATAATATTTTTAAAACAAATTATCAACTTTTTTAATTTTTTGAAAATGTGGCTTCGCATCACATCTGTTATCAGAAACACCCAGATAATGTTTTAGAGCAATTTATAAGCCGTACGAATTTGAATGACGCCGAATGATACACAAAAATGTATATATAAAGTTTATGTATATTCTATAACGTCATAGTTCTTGACTTTCTTTTCCTTTTAGAAAAAAAATTTGAACTTTTCAACAAAACATCAGCAGCAGCAATTTTTACTTAGCTTCTAATAGAGTAATGGCCGAAACTAGTCCATAGGCTTAAAGTTTTTTGTTATGTTCAAAATTTTAAACTCCAATTCATATGATAATATTAAAGACAGAATTTTTTTTTCAGATTAAATAAACAAAACAAAAAAAAATTTAAAATTTTACCTAAAACCAAATAACAATGAAATGGCCAACGATGAATTTTTTAACAATTAATAATTAATATTCATAAAATAGGTAAGTTATACTAATAATTTATTAATTTTAAAACCACAAGTATTTCTTAATGCTTTTACGTCAATTAAAATTTCTATAAGAATGTATACTCGTAACTATAAATCAAATTTCAAGAAGCATGTGAAAAAACCATTGATCTTTGGAAATATTATAGGTGTGGTTTAAATTTAGAAAAAATATTTTCTTACACAAACTGTCTATATATGCCATGTTTCAAAATAAATGTGGTATACTAATTCTGTATTCTGGTTTAAATTTTTTTTTAAAATTAAGGACAATATGCATGTAACATCTAATATAAATTTTAAGAATTTTAAATTATCATAAATATATTAATAATTAATGATGTTATAACGTTTACTTTACTCTTAAGGACATAAATTTCGAATTTTGATTGAATTTTATTTACGCAATAATTTCATATTTTATTTTTTCATTAAACTCATTTTTTGTTTATGATTTTATTTATATTACTTCCATACATACGTATACATGACATATATGTACATAAATATAATTATTTAATGGAGAAAAAAAAAAATAAAAACTCCTTGAAAATTTATGCCACCAGAAATAATTTCTAATTTGATGTTATAAGAACGGTGCTAGAAAGAAAATAAATTAAATTTTATAATAGAATTTTAAGAGGGTAAATGAGAAAAAAAAAATTTAGGGCATAATAATAACCAGAATAAATAAAAGTGGTTTTATATATAAGCATAAAAGAAGTAAAAATGCATGATTATGTAACTTGTGTTTCATATAAGTACCTATGTATACGTTATATATATTCATATGACGTTGTCTTGTCATCAGAATAAAAAATTAATATTTATTTTCCTGTTGAATATTTCCTATAATGTAAAGTTGATTTTCTTAATTCTAATATAGACTATATAAATAAGGACTATTGAGTTGTCCTGATTTTACATTACTTATAATATTACAAAATACGTATATATAAAGAAGAAAGTTTTTTCATAAGGGGAAGTTTTTGTATATTTTTTTTATATTCTTAAAAATTAGAGGAAATACTCATAAAAAGTAATTTAGAAAATTAACTTTTAAATAATTTAAAAAATAAAGAAAATTTTTTTAACTTAATAAATTTAACATATTTATATTTATTTAATAATCTAAATAATATAAAAATAAATACAAATTTAATTAATAAATTAATTGTGCTCGATACAAAATTTTATCGATTAAGTATTTCGGCACTCAGAATTCTTAACATTTTCGGGAATATCTATGGAGTGGTAATATTAAAGACATTATAAATGAGGGATCATCATATCTTCAAGCTAAATTATTCGATAAATAAAAATTCATTAAATTGATCAATAAATTCGTTAAAATTCGTTAAATCAATATTGATTTCAAGCTATTTATTAGATCTTTCAAAAGGTGTGTGTTTGAAGTAAATGTTTCTTTCGG